GCGTCTCGGACAGGGCATGACATCAAAGATTAAGGTTTAGCGGAGCATCTCGACCTCAAGAGCCGTTGATTCTAGTCTTTGCCTGGCTGCGCGAAGAGGACAGAGCCGATCGCGATGACGAGCGAGATCTCGTGGCCGCCAAGCGCGGCGGGACGGGCATCAGGACCGCAGCGAAGCGCCGTGGCTGACAGGGTCCAAAGGCGAACACGAAAGGGCAGCTGGTTGTGAGCGACGGTGATGGTCAAGGCCCGTGTGGCCGACGGTGATAGTCGATGGACGAGTTTACGTCCGATCCAATCCCACCCGAAGCATGTGGCGCACGTGTTTGCACATGATGGCAGTTGCTGGCTTCCAAGAGAGTTGGGGGCTCTACCGAGCGCCAGCGTGCGTGCTCGGTCGCGCGGTTCGGACAGGCTCACAAATCAGCGACCCGAGTATCTGGTCCGCAAGGCTTTGATCACTCATCCGCTGCACCAGCTGTCGGGGGCATATTGTCGAGCCGAGGCTTCTGGCTTCTGTGGTAGACCGCGGTGGGATAGCAGCTCGAACCCGGGCCTGTCTGTCTGTATGCTGCCTCTTTTTTGGTTTTCCCAAGTCCCCTGGCCCAGGTATAATGCTGTGTATAAGCAGCGACGTGTCAGCAGCAATGGCAGACGTCAAATGTCAAATCAACTGTCTTGTTGGGTCGGGTCTGGGTCGGCCGGATCTGGCAGTCACCTGTCTCAAATCGGCCGTGAGGCTCGGGGGTCCCAGCCCAGAGGCGTGCAGCTGCCAAGGCTGGTCCTGGTTGGTGCCTCAGGGCCAGCCCCTTCCACCCCTTCCACCCCCACCCTACTTATATCGCATTTGAAATCCAAGACATGGGTTTCAACGTTTGCTTACAGATCGCAGGACTCTGACCCTTTTTTTTTTTCCTGTTCTTTTATTTTTCCCTTCCTTTTTTTCCCGCCCATGTCCATGTCCACACCTTATTTATCTATCTACTAGAAAGGTACAAGGTAAGTAGTCACGTAGTCTAATGGTAACCAAACCAACCTCACCACCACAAACCACCACGACCATCGCCACTCCACGTGCCAGCTTCACAAGGTTCCACCGAATTTGTAATCCTTTGATCCCCTCTGCCGACGACCGTGCTCTCGGGTATCACAGCACCCCGCGCCTTCGATCTTGGGGGCGGATGCATTCTGGGGGACCCGAGCCGTAGGTCAGGTCAGGTGAGATCAATCCAGCTCAGCCAAGCCTTGCCCCGGCCAGACAATGTTGACTCACACCGAGGACACTCAATGCGTGGAGAGAGCAGAATGGATACAATGTCCAACTGGGGCTGTCAGGTCGTCTGAAATTTTCCAGAACCTTTCCAGGTCAGGCTAGTCGGCGGTCGGGAGCCGATTCGGTTCCGCTGCCATCTGTTGCCTCGGCCCAGGGTTTGTTTCAATTCATTGTTTCACAGTGGGGGGAAATCATGACATCCTGAGCATCATCGGCCAGGCCGGCACCGGCGCCGGGGTCGGTACCGGGAGCGGAGTCGGGATCGGACTTTGAACTGGATTTGTGGAGTTAGTCGCCCGATGGACTTTGGAGAAAATGCAGGAGTCGGGCTCGCGCCTTTGCACGACCGCGAGCTTAAGCTGATTGAAGCAAGGCCGCGGTGTCACGGGCTGCTCCCATGGTCCCCTTCGCGCCTATGGGGACCACCATTCTCTGGGACCCCCCTGACCTTGCCACCGTCTATGTCCACGAGGCTGAATTAGGGTTGCAGCTCCTCTTCCACCCGGATTGTTGTCGTCGAGAACCGGGCTCCATCCGCCCGCTCAGTCCCTGCCTCCCTTCACAAGAACCTGCATGGGCTTCCATGGCAAGCTAGCCATCACTATTGACGACCACCGGCCCCAAGCAGGTCGGCGCCGGCGGTGACCCTGCAGCCCGGCGCTGCTTGACCACGCTCGGCTCCGAGTCCTCCGCCAGGCCGTCACTTTCACTTCATCACACCAATACTGAAGACGAACATGGCAACATGAGCACCTGGACTCCGTCATTGTTCATGATGGTCCAGAAATGATCTTCCTCTCATGTTGCATTTTCTGCGAGACTGAAAACAAATCCCCGCGACACCAATCAGATACACGTCATGGTCACCGCTTGATCGGCGATTGAACTTTGGAATCCCGTCCAGACATGACTCGGCTCGGGAAGGATAGGTCCGGCCTGTCGATGCGCTCACGCATGGGAATCCGCTTAGACACATGTGCATCCCGATCGTCCAAATCAAGCTGCGACGAGGTACCACAGTATGCAGCACCGCCTTTAATGCCGGAACTGACTGTCGTTGGAGCTGGCAACGGCCGATCCAATGACGGGTAGATATCGGCCTAGCCCCGATCGTGTGCGCCGAGATGGGCAAGCGCATGCAGTAGACGCATACCATACCTCTGTACCCATTTCCTTGGAAGCGAATGTTGTGACTACACCATTCCAGACGGTGCTGGAGCACCCGTCGAGATGTTCTGAGAATCTTGGTGAGGCCCACCTCGCCAGACCACACCACATCACTGCAACCGTGGGTGTTTGATCATGATATCAGGATGCCCCACTGTCCTTGGCCAGAGGTACAATCATGCCCGGGAAACAGTTTCCGGAAGTCCAAGTCAGGCTTTTGCGGTGGTCTATGAGACCGACCAGGAAGGCGACGACCCACAACTTTTGAAGGCCTCGCCAAGCGACGACAAGCCAGTCAGCAGGCCTGGATCTGTTGTAGTAGACATGGGGATGGAAATATCCACTGGTCATAGTAAGCGGTTGCGAAGTGGACCTGACATCGCGATCATGGTCTCGCAGGCGCGAACAGTCGGTACCCCAATCCTGATTCTGGATGAATGCTCGCACTCGCCACATATAGGCAGAGCGCTCAGTGGCCCACGAGTCTTGAGTGTCGGGAAGTACCGCGCGTCACATTGAGGTACACGACTTTTTCTGTTGTCTGATTCTTTCCTGGTCTTCGGGTGGGTCCTGATCAAATCCCTCCCTGTCGTCTGACAGTGAACTGGCTCCACTCGTTCGCGAATACTTGTGCATGATCCTCTTTTTCACCAGAAGTATCCCCTATCACCGAAGATTTGCATTGAAATTTTCTCGCCAAGCTGACAAACCTGCCAAGTCTGTTTCCTTTACGCGGGGAAACCATTCACCTGGGGACTGGGCTACTTAAACACATCTGAACCATTTTGAAAGATGCCATCAGGTAGGTTGGACCAGGCAAGGAGAAAAGGTCGGTCACTTGAGAAAATTTGCGTCGCTTTGGCAAGACGCGACCATGGGCGCGAAGCCGACGTATGAGATGTGTCGCGATTAACCGCGTGCACGCTGTGGGGACAACCAGAGCTGCCAACTATTTTGAGAATGCGAATGCTGCCCGATTTTCAGGAGATCACTCGGCAATCTGCTCAGAAATTTCACGCATGTTCGTCTTGTGTGCCCTAGTCTGCTTGCTTCTGCCGGTTTCTGTCTTGTCTCTTGCACGTGTGGTGTGCCTTTCTAGACTGTGTAGCAATTCAAATTATTTTGATGCGATTGATGGCCCCATAACAACCACATGGATCCTAGATATTAGCATCTGATCGACTCAGAGTGGGGCCATTTCCATAGGGCAGCCATCGGCACGATGACTTCACGTGGGACGAGGTGCCGTTCGAACTGTTCGATCGGTAGGGATCTGCGAACAACAGCCAACACTGTAAATTCACTGCGGCTGTTCTCCCGGTACCCACCTTGTAGGGCTAAAGTACACCAATGTTCCACAAGATCTGGGTTGTTCTGGCGCGGCTAATTTTCAGCACCAAAACATATACGTTTGGCGAAACGGTTTCACAGTTGCAGTTGACACAAAGAAATTTGATAGCCAATCGTGGCACCTCTTCCTCAATTTGTCTCTATTCACTCCAGCCACATTGTGTCATCTGAGCACGGTAGCTTGTGTATGTGGGGGGGTCGCGAGGCAGGGATGGGGATATATCCAGTGACGAGCAATAGTACCTCAGAGTACAAGTACAACAACATACCCGAGCGTGTAACCCGAAGGCCTGTGTTACCTCGCGATAGGACCTGCATGGTCGAGATTACCTCGACCAGGATGTGGCGTCGTAAGACACCCACGCCACTCAACGGTCTTCCCGTACCTGGCACGGGCGGGGCTGACTTTGTCAAAATCTCAAGAGACCGGTGAGCTGCAGCATACTAAGCCTTCGGCTACTTGAGTAGGCAGAAACAATAGATATCCATGGTGAAACGCCACTGAAATTCATGCCCACGTCTTACGACATTACGCATGTAGCTTATTGACAGCCGTACAGCTTGCGATGTCCCCAACGGTTGTTCGGGAATTGAATGTTGCTGCACGTCTAGAATGGAATAACAGGAAAGACCAAACAGAACATGAGTAGAACATGCTGCGAGCTTTCCATTGTGAATGTGTGATTGTAAGTGAGTCAAATATCATCCCTCAGTACAACGTACGCTGGGAGCACTCCAGAACATTACGTGGAGATCATCGAGACGGTTCACAGGAGGTCGACCCATGCAATCCAGTATGAGATAGAGAGCCATGGAGAGCGATATATGTATATGTCCTGAATCTGCTAATGCAATAACAAAAAGCATCACGTCAGCCACGCCAAGCTTGGATCACAGACGACAAGCGATGCAAACATTCAAAGACGGCAGGGCCAAGCTACAGAAGTGTAACGAAAGAACAAGTACTTTGTGCCATCAATTAGTCAAATTTGCTTCGCTTAGATGTAAGGCTCTATCCTCATATGCTGCGCGACGTACCAGTTGTGGCTTACATCAGTAGCTGCCGAGTCAACCGGTGCTTAGGTGCAGAGACTAGGTTATTGTCTGTACGGGCCACCCGGACACCGAAAACAGTAATTCAAAAACAAAAAAAAAACATCTCAGACCTCATCGCCACAGCGGGAGGGTATGAGGTAAAGACAAAAGAAGGATGAACCGTGCAGGGATCGAACCTGCAATCTCCTGATTCGTAGTCAGACGCCTTGCCATTGGGCCAACGGTCCTGTTGTGGAAGCCGTCCAAAAATACAATATTATTATTCAAGAGTTGTCCCGAGCCAACCGAGGAAGCGGTTTGTTCCGCCTGTAAATACCATGCTTAAATGTTCTAATGTTTCTAGGCACCGAGTGTTAAAAATCTTGATCGTCGGTCACAAAGACTTGGACGCTATCAAGGGAGTTGCATAACTCAGCAGGAGCCGTCATACTCGGGCGTTACTCTGAGCCGTTTCCAAGACCCGAATTCACAGAGCCCGGTGGCCGAAGTCCCGTTCTCAAAACGCGAGCGATAGCCGGGCTTTCACTACAGCAGCCTCAAGGCCATTCGGACTTGGGTGACATTTCTATACACAGTACAGATTGCAAATATATCGCGCAAGCCCAACCAACCAATAGGACCGCATCCAATCATCGGCTGGCCCCGAGACCCTCGCCTCGGGCTCGGGCCCTCAGGGATGCGACGTGTCCAGCACATCTTACGATCCTCGGGTCGAAAGTGTCGCATTTCTCGGCACTCGCAGGACGCGAGTCCGAGATCTTTACTTCCAACACTCGACAATCACGGGGATTTAGATAGCCACAGTCGGCGAAACCCGGTCCGAGAACTACTCCCTCATCACGAGACCCTGACGAGAAAACCCATTTTGACCGCAGCGTTACAACTAGACTGCATACACGCGTTGACTCTAGACGGATTTGCATATCAGCCAGGAGGTATGCCTGGCTCGTTCCAGGCTGGTCAGCCCCATTGTAACTGCTATATTTCCCTACCTGGGGCCGCGCGGCTCTGATCCGCTCCCGAGATTCTGGTTTCGGCCCTCGGGTGATGTCTTGTTGTCCCCGTACGCCACCGTCAGCATTGGGTGATAACCACGTCACAGACAGAACTTAAACGAGGACAAACACGATGGCGAACTAAGCCAGAGTATAGTCCCATAAGTCCACTACATAGCCTCCGGGCATCTTTGATGTCGGTGTCGAGTAGTTCATTCTCATGGGATGGCCTACTATACGACAACGTTCTTGCCACCTGGAGTACTGGATAACCAAGTACGGGATATTCAGGACGTAGGATAGCCTGCTGTAGTACATTTATTGATCACGGGATAACTCACCATGGCCCAAACCACCATTGCATACTCTGCTGTTGACTTAGATACCATGGGATGACCTACCATATCATGTCAGAGCGAGCAAAATTGAGTAATCTCCTCCACACCATCGAATATTATGCATAATTTCTATTTTTGTCTGCAAGTTTCGAATCGAGGAGGTATAGGCAGTAATTACTCAACCAAACCATTTTGGATTGAAGCCTCTACCAAGCGTCCGTCGTATCAGGGTCACTGGTTTTAATCTCTCACAACATCCTTCCCTTTCCCCTTCCCAATCACATCGTCCATGCTTCCCACGGACCGCAAGCTGAAGTAACCCGAGTCCGCATGACTAGTCCCCTCGTCGGACATTCTGAGCCACGCGGCGTACTCGTCGTGGAAGTCGTCAAAAGTTGAACAAATCACTCAGACTGGGGCCCTCAATTGTGATATCCATCGAATTGGGTTTGAAACACGACGTTTTGTTCGCAGAAAGAAGGGCGGAGGGTCTCGAGTCCGTCTCAGTCGGATTGCCGAGCTCCAGTTGCCACTTGAGAGACTCGCTGTTAGTTAATGCGTTGACTCGCTTGCTGGCTACTCTCTGGCTGTCCAATCCCTGCCTCTTGGGACGACGCCCAGGCCGCTGAGGTGTTTGTTCAGTAGTTACCAAAGGTAGGCACATTGTACAAGGCAACATCATCACTTCCCAGAAGTGCAAGCTGTGAATACGTGTCTGGCCCTGGGGATGCTAACCTCTCGGACTCATCAACGGACATACTAGTCGTTGAAGTTTTAGGTGTCTGCTGGGGGAACGTGTTGAGAACCTGCGCGAAGACATCGCGCACTAATCCTTCTAGCAATGTCAGGTCCCAGCGCCTCACGGATGGTGGCGTCTACGGTCTCTTCGAGTCGAGGGTCGTATCAGTCGCGGCAGCTCCCTACCTACGTGCTCTTTCGGGGCATTCAGGAGTGACTCTTGGCCCTTCCCCGAGTTATCACCTTATAAGTCTACATAAGACCAACAATCAGCATATGATCCAACCCTCATTGAACTGCAAGACACTTATATGGCGATGGGATCAGATAGTCGTGAGGGAACAAGATCTTTCACATGTTTATCCACTTGTTATGTTCAGAGCTCACCTCCCTGTTTCTCTCCCTCGATTTCGGTTTCATGAGTTGCTCGTGGGTAATCCCTTCTTGGCCAGAATCATCTTCCACGGCTTTGCACGCTATGTCTGCTTGGCTATGCTCCAAGAGCTTCTCGGATGATTTGAAGTTTCATGCGGCATCGTATGCATTAAAACAATAGTGATCGATGGCACCGATACAAATGTAACTGAGCGAAACATTAGTCATGACCAGCGAGGTATCTTGAGTCTGCGACTGGCATACTTAATTGAGTCGGAATATTGCCTTCCAGCCGGAGGTTGAGCAATTCCGAATTTGACCAAATCTCCGCGAATTATGCTTCGAGAACGGGCATGCAAATTCAACAGTCTCCTCGTCCTCTCTAGCACCGAAGCCTCGGGATGGCGGCGGCACATAACCCTCGTCGTCCCTGTATCCATCGTCCGGAGTGTGTCCAACTTTGCCGTACCCCTCTAGCTTCTTCCGACTCGGTCCATCAGTTGAGTCGCAAGTCTCAGCCTGCGACCAAGAAGAGGCCCGAGGACCCTCCTCGCACGTACCATGTGCCTGGAAGACGAGCACACCAAGCCTCGATTCTATCCACCTGAAAATCCAATAGACTGTTCTGTCGATTAGAATGTTCCGGCGTGATTCAACGATAGAACTGGTGAGTGAAGGCTCTCAGAATTCGAGTATGTCTCAAAACTTTCACCTTCAGACACGTCTGACATTTCTCCGGGGACGGCCTCTTGATTGAGACCACCAAAGTCACCCGGAGCAACTGCTACACTCCATGACAGGATTCGATCCACGAAAGTCTATTCAAGTGAAGTACCAAAACTGACCCTACCTAAAGGCAAAGGTGACGAAAATGTGGAAGAGTGAGAAGCTGAGGGCAAGGTCTTGTCCGAGTGTATACCGGCAGAAATTTGCTTGCTGGAGTATGTTTCGTGGCTGAGCTGACGTGATCGGATACCGTCGTCGGCACCAGCACTTCTTTATCTCACCGGGTGACCAGCATCTCTATTTGTTTGGCAGGATTGACCAGATGGCCCTGGGGCATGAGGATCCGAGACTGCTGTGACCGAGTCTCTCGCTGTCTCGATGTCAACTGATGCCATTTTGGTGGGCTGAACGACGATTCAATATGGTAGCTCGAGCTCCAAAACCCAATATCAGATATTCAGGTCAGGTAGTTGACCTTTCGTATAAGTTGACGCTGCACGATTCTTGAGACCATCTCATGACAAACTCGCGTTGTTGGGCTCAGGAAGAAGCACATATACCTGCTCGCAAGGCTCTGCAGTCAACGCAGGCGACTTGTGTGCACCATCACCAACAACCAGGGAGCGTGATCGCCCCGCAGAAGTCATGCGCCAGGAACTTGCGGAATCTTAACAATTCTAATGTATCAATACTTGAACTATTCATTCTTTTTTAGCACACACGCCATGCAGCATTAGACCCAATTAATCCCAACTTTGCCTCCGAGGGAGGCAGGCCACATAACCCTACTCGCGCGCGATGCCCATGCTCCTCGCCTGCGCGATCATCTCGTCGATCAGCTCCTTCTCGGCCGCCGTCAGGAGGCCGTACAGGTGGTTGTCCGTGGTCAGGCAGCACATGTTGCCCTCGCCGAGGATCCAGGCGCCAGGCTCGCGCACGTCGCGCGGCTCGATGAGGTAGCTGTCGAACGTGCCGAACTTCCACTGCCGCCGCTCCAGGAACTTGTTCCTTACCAGCCCGCCGTTGAACCAGAACGGCTTGCCCTCCAGGTCCAGGTGCAGCAGCTGCGGCGAGCACATCCGCCGGCTCGGCAGCGGGCCGGGCGACGGGGTGGCGGCGGGGGGGCTGATCTCGTCCTCGGCGTCGAATTCTGGGTAGAGTTCTGGGTCGAACTCAGAGTCGGTGCTGTTGTCGAGGATCGCCCAGTGCGGGAGTTTAGCCTTTTCTTGTTCCATTTCCTCGCGTGTCTTCATCACGCCCAGGGTTCCTGCGTCGCCTTGGTGGAAGACGTAATCTGTGTCGCCGACCAGTTCGAAACCCAGCCAGAAGGTTTCCTTGTCGCCTGAGGGTGGGGGTCAGAGTCTATTTCATGAAAGAAAGCACGGCTGGTCTTGGATAAACTCACCATATACCATGTCGTAAACTCCGACCTTTTTGTCATCCCGGTTCCCATCCCGGTCGGGCCCGTTCATCCTGGTGACAAGAAGCATTGCCATGAAATGCCTGTACGTGTCAACGACCAGCACACCGCTCTCCTGCTGATGGCCACTGTCACCTGTCCATAGCCTGCTCTGCTTGACGTTCCTCGAAACGGGCTGAGGGAGGACCGTCTGCAGCCAGCTCCTCCTGAGTTCTGGCATGATCAGGCGGTCCCGAAAGAACAACGCCCCCGTCTTGACGTATCCAGGATCGTCGAACATCACCTCAGGGTTCCGGAAGAAGAAGCTATCTGAATCGATGACTGTTATTTTGGTTGTTGTCTGTTAGTATGCTTTGCAATCCCAAGCTAACGATATCTAGACGATCATGCAAGGGACACGTCACCGCATCGAGCAAAAGCCTGCACTTACAGATGACCTCCCGGAAGCTGGACAGCAGGATGGCGAAAGGCTTGATGGCCCAGCCCGCGAGCTTCCAGCCCTTGTCGCGGACCATGCCCCCGATGTCCCGCGTCACCACGCCCTCGAGGTCCTCGAGGTCCTGCCTGGAGTCGCGGTTCAGGTCGGCGTCGCTGGCGTACAAAACCTCGATGGGCAGGTCGCACCCGAGCCTGCG